GATTATGCAACACATGCATATCAAAAAACAGATGAATGTCCCCTTCAGTAAACACTTATTTAAATATCTTTTGTCAACGTACGTTCTGCGTCGTAAAAAAGATATCCTTTAAACCCAACTTTTCCTCAAATTAGTATAAAGAAAGAATTGTCTTTATTTCGGCTTCTGATTTGTAGGGGATTTGATCGAAATATTTCGGTTACCCTTCTCCTGAAATTTTTTGAAAACATTTTGTTACAAAATAAATCCGGCTTTTTACATCACAATAAATAGCACACGTATGTAAAACAAACAAGTTTTATTCTTCAAGACAGAAAAAAATGTCAAATCAAAATTTGAAGTATAAGCTTGTTAAACAAGAGGCCTATTGGCCACATCGCTCACCTGAAAACTTTTGACCATTCTGTTCTTTACCAGATTTCACCCTTGTTATACATAATGCATCCCCACCCTACCCCACTGATCATAATTTAGACATTTTGAAATCTACACTATCCCATGATCCTTCCATGGGCACATATGTTTCAGCTTTTTTGGCCCAGTGGTTCCTGAGCAGATTTTCAAAGATTTTTCCTATATATTTCTAAGTAAAACTTTGATTCCCCTATAATGGCCCTGCCCTTCCACCGGGGGTCATGATTCCTACAATTTAGAATTTACACTACCCCAGAATGCTTCCACTTAAGCTTCACTTTTTCTGCCCCAGTGGTTCTTGAGAAGATTTCAAAGATTTTTCCTATATATTTCTATGTAAAACTTTGATACCCCATTGTGTCCCCGCCCTTTCCCCGGGGGTCATTGAAAGGATGTTGGAAAGAAATTAGCCAGTTGATGGGTAAACTGAGTATCAAAATGCTTATTGCATTAAAATAAATATATATATGGTATAATTAGATTTGTGGAAAGAAATATTCAGTATGCCTCACTTCAACTTTTTCGTGTATTTTCTCCATGATATTAAAAATAACAATAATTTCAATTTAAGCGGTTTCATGTAGATTAAAGAATAATTAAATGCTCATCCATTAAAATACTGCATGGATAGAAAAAGATGGGGATATGTTTTTAGAGAAGTATAATCTTAGATGTATTGTTATAGAAAACATGACCATCAAATATGGGTTTTTTAAAAACATTTTAACATCTTTATTACAATGATTTTTGTCTTATCCGACATGCATCGGGAACACATTAAAAATGTATGTGTTGGAATAAACAAGGTGTAGTATTGCAGCGTGTAAAGATCATTGAGATAAGTATAACTGAGAATGGCTGAAATCACAGTAAAGAGTATTGCATGTGTCGGATTAAACAGGTTCCACTGTAATAGGTTTAACAATAAAGTAATCTTCATCCTAATTCTCCGTCCAGTTATCTCCATTTATCAGTGTTTGAAAAAAAGAACGAAATATTTCTATTTTCAAATTTATTACAACACAAATCAAGTACATCTTTTACTGAATATTTACATTTGCAAATGTTTTCCCTTATGTAACACTATTTCAGTAAGGCGTTTTTACATCTCAATAAAACAAGTTGGTCATGTGACCATAAATTAATTGTTATGTCATAATTGATCTACGTAGTTTGATAGTGACGTCATAAGCGATCGACGTTATAAACACATACCGTTGAGTTTTGAAAAAATAACGTTATCGGTTTCAAACTTTAGTTAAGTACCTTACTATTTGTAATGAATAGTCTCAAATGTAAATATTAGTAATAAGGTATCATTTTTTTGTGTTTTATTGGGCTGTAAAACGGGTTGACACATGATCAAATCTTTCATAAAGCCCTTCGGGCTTTATGAGATTTGATCACGTGACCAACCCGTTTTACATCCCAATAAAACACAAAAAATGATACCTTATTTCTTATATACATTCAGTATCGCTTTACAGAGCAGTTCAACCCCCCTTGTTTTACTGTTTGTTACTTGATGTTAAATATTTAAAAAAAGAATTCAGCGATAAAAATTAATTTATAATCGTCACTTGAGGGTTTCCATAATCCATGGATGATTTTTCATCTGTTAAAAAAAATTAAACAAATTAAATCTTCACAGATACATGTATAATAGCATACTTTTGTATTTAGAAAAAAAACAAAACTTTTATAACTGAAATTTTCACAATAATACAAAAACAAAAAACCCTGGTAATTAAGATTAAATGATATTTACCTAGTTACGTCTGATCATCAAGGTGGTCCCCTTCACTGATGCCCCACTCTGTACTGTGGGATACCATGGTAAGGACCAGGACCCCGGGGACCAGGGACCGTTAAGGAAGGCGGAGTGACAGGAGCGGAACCACCAGCCTCCACTAGTGGTCCTGTAAGCAGCACAGTTATTATCACCCCACCCGTCATTGTCTCTGTCTGGGGTACTGAAGTACATCCCAGACAGATCGTAAATAGAAGAACCTGTATCTAACATAGCGTCTCCTGTAAAATCAAACAAAAGCAATCAAAGACAAAATGGATTTATATATCTTCAATTTAATTCTCAATAATAATACTGAGATACATGTAAGAAAGACGACTTTACGTGCTGAAAAGAGCGATAATATTTATTTTGTTCAGTTTTAGAATCCCCGATGTCTAAATACTGGCACCTGCAGATTTAGAAAAACGATATAAAACAGAGATAATAATTATTAATTTACATCACATTGATTCTAATACTGTAGTACGTCTGATATACGCAGTTTAACGTGTTGTTTCCTGGAAAAAAGAAATAAAAATAATACAAGAGAACAAAACACTGCGCAATTCACATAGCATCCTTTCTAGTGTAACAATAAACAACAGACGTGTTACACATTTTAAGCATGGTATTATTTAGGAGGGGGGTGTAAAGGTCACTGGAAATTTTAGAAAACATCACAAAATGAAATTTTAAAATTTGTCCATTTCCTGTAATAAGATATATTTGAAATCATCTGAAAAGTTCATCGAATAAAATTAATTCTTTTAAATCTCTATGAATCTACGGTAATGAAAAATCAAATTATTTTCCATAGCTGTAGACATTAATGCTAAATTTTGTCTCATTAGAATATGCCGCTAAATGATATTCTTCTTTTCTATTTTTTTTTATCATTTGAGATATCAATTAAGCACGATATGTGAATATCATAGAACACACATTACTTAGTTTTAAATTTAGATCTTTATTACGCATTATAGTTTTTTACTTGCCTTAAGAATCTTTTTTATCTCCAAACTTTGAAGGAATAAAAAGTTCCTATTTGAAAGGGATTTACACTTACCGACCCAGACGTTTTGTTCCGGTGAACCGAAACCATTTTTATAATCCATCCAGTTCCTGTCAAAGATCACGGATCCGTCTATGCGTTTCTGAATTGCCTGTAAAAATTAACATGTAATACAATTCAAGTTATTTCTTCGAACATTCATAGGATCCATATGTTTTGATATAAACTAGAATACAATCCAACAACCCTTAAAATAACCAAAATAATGTGAGTTATATTAAGTACTTTTAATTCTAAAATAAACGACCTACCGTCCATCACCCACCCATTGTAGTCATATCGCAATACACACTGACCGGTATTGTTAGTGTATCGTAGGGGTATATATCATACACCCCTGTGATGGTTTGTCCGTTTTCTAGAAGATCCTTGCAATCTTGGGGCATGCTAGGAAAGTCTAAAAAAACATTACCAGATTCATACAATGTATATGTACAAGAAGTAGGAAGATATATAATGCCTGTATGGTATATAATTGTTAATTGTTGAAGCTAAAATGTTAACTAAATGTATAATGCGTATTATGTTAAACTGTTCCTCATTATCTACAATCATTCTTGTTTTCTATTTGATACATATCTTTGCTTAAGGACGTGATTAAAAGTATTTTAAAATTAAATATAAGTATTTTCAGTACTCTGTTGATTGAAAGATATGTAAAAGATGAATACATTTTTAGATAAAATGATTAACAATTAGACACTGAAACAAATGTTGAAAAATGTAGTAAAATCATGATATCATTTTATGCATGATACAATGTATGTGAAATTGAACATTTCGTAGATTCTTAGGTCGATACAATGACCATGTTTTCCAACACTTTCTATCGTATCAAACTTCAACAGATTGTAAGGCGAAAAAAATGTAAGAGAAAAAGAATTTTGTCCTCGCAAGAAGGACCTAAAAGCACAAAGAAGCAAACACAAAAAATAACAAATATACATACCGTCATCCAAGTAGTATCTCCAACCGGCCTCATCAGACAGCCCGGATGTAAGACTTTTCTTGTTGGTTCGACATTTCTTCATTTGACTGTTGAATCCAAAGAAAACGCACTCCCTTTGACACACCGCGGCGCACTAAGTTAACGAATGAGCATTATGCTCCCCTAAAAGTTCATAGTTTGACTTCTTATCATTAAGTTCGAGTTTCGCAGCATATTTCTGAGAAAAAATGGTAGCTTTAGATAAAGCTAAGAAGCCTACAATTAAAGTGATAACACACTGATTGCTCATTTTTTGTTGCGCAAAAAACTGCCGCGTTCTCGTGAATCTGTAAAATTCTACTAAATGGTCTTTCAACAGCAGAATATATATATATCGTACCATAATCACAGTCTGAAATGTGATTGGCTAACTGTTACGTATTCTATATTTCACTGTTTTAAGTATCGATTTTATCGAAGTTCATATGAATTTTCATGAATTGTCATAAACGCTTATTTTGAAATTGCAATTTAGATATAACAATGAAAGCTGTGCTGTTTTTAATTTAGTTAATGCCTGTTATGTTATGATGTTGTACAGTGTTTTTTTTTATTAGCTATCTTTAAAATATGGAATTTTGATATATCTTCTCCTTCATCCACTCAAACTGAATGAAATTAGAAATCAGCAATATTGAAATAAAATTCAAAGTAAAATAATCTGATTCTAAAACATAATTAAGAATATATTGAATATATATTGATTTTTCAACTTTGATACATTAGCCAATAAATGTTAATGTAACACAATACATGTACATCATCATTGGTTTATTTACTTTTGAGTCTTAGAGAGACATACATTTGTAAAATACAATTATAATAGAATTCTATAAGACTTCTTTTAAGCCCGTTAAAAACTTTTTTTTTTAAATGAAAAGTACTAACGGTAGATGTTTAAAATATAGAATCGTAACACGTAATGCCTCGAGCCCGCGGAGGGGTGCTTAGCCATTATATAGACAGTGAAAGTTGAGATTTACCTTTTTGATAAGCCCCTCCCCCACCCCCACATATTGGGTGCATGAAAGCATGACGTCAATCCATGACCTAGTATATAACAAAGATATGTAGGATTAAACATTCTCATCCAACGGTCATTCCTACCGTGTGTCCCATGTTATGATCGAGCAAATCCAAAACAAAAAAAAAATGGACAATTCAGTGTTATACAATCATAATGACGAATTGTATATAAAATGTGAGTTTACTTTGGTCTTAATCATGGACTATATCTTATGTGACTGGGTCATTGTATCAAACACAAAACTTAAGAAATTCTCACTTAAAGCTAACTATTGATTCAATTGATTTACCACATATTTTTACCAGTTAGCCTAGTTTTTGAAACTGCGAAAAACAGGTCTCTTAGGAATGGATCTTTAAGCCTTCACTAAACAATGTCGTGTGTAATGTTCTTTAAAAAAATTATGAAAATAAAAATTAAACGTTATGAAATAGTTTTTATAATACGAGTATCACAAGGTTAGCAAATACGCGAAGAAAAAATATACATATGCAATTTTAAAAGCAGTTACAGTATAAAACTTAAAAAACCGCGATTTTTGTTCGTTCAATAAATTTAAGAAAAGGGTTACTTAAAAAAGAATCACAAAACCTATGTTTGATATCATTGCCCCAATTTGAGCATTGGACATCAACATAATAAGTGGTGTTGTAATGAAATCTATAAGAAATTGTGGTTGTAATGAGCCTCTTCAAATTCTATGTGCAGTTGAATAATGGATAGGAAATCAGAGGTAAAACAATAGTGGTAGTCAATATATATGTAATATACTGTCAACCAACTTTTATTCGCGACGACTTAATTTCGCGATTTACCGAGAGTAAACTAGTTCGCGGGGATTTATTTTCGCGATCAAGCCTTTTTGGAACAGTTTTAGTGGAAAAACTTTAGTGAAGAGACTTTAAGAACGCGTTCGCGGTGAGAAATATTCGCGATGACGAGGCTCTCGCGAACCTCACAAAAATTTCTCGCACGCGAATAAAAATGATTTACAGTATTTTAGCTTCGTTTTCTTTGATTTTGATTAAAAGCTTAAACAGAGGCAAGAGGTCGCGGAAGTGTAAGTATTTCCAAACTCTTTCTTAATTTTTTATTTTTTTGGGGAAATTCGCAAAATTTTAGTTTTCACTTCTCAAAAAATAGAGCACAAGCTTATTTTTCTTTGATTTTTATATATAAGATGCTTCGGATTCAAGCGTTGTTCGGAAAGTTCGTGGACTACTGCCATAAAATTAAGATCGCCTAAGATACATGTATATCAATGAATTATCCAGCGTTTAATTAGCATAAACTTTTCTATTTATATATTAAACAATGCATCATGACTTATTTTTTTTTAAATACATTGTTGGTGTTTTTGGCAATGCTTTGTCCTGGCGGGCCAAACACGAAGATTGTGTTTTTTTCTAACCTAAATGTAACAATTATTTTTTATATGAAAACCTGTAATTTAAAAAAAAGAACGATAATTCCCTCATGTGATAATACAAAATTATACCTCAAACACTGCAATTTTAGCACCATTTTGTAAGTCTATGAAGTTGCATAGTAATTTTATTAAAAAAAATCTCCAAACAATTTGTGAGAGGTATTGACGTCAGAGAAGAGGATGGGTTTCTTTTTTCTAGCATGCTATAAAGTTTCACCCCCCTGGAAAAAAACTGGCATAGACGTAAGAACTATTTAAGTAGCACATTGAATAATAAAATGCATTCAAATTACTTGTTTTTAAATACCCAAAAATATTAGAGAGACGCGAAAAGTGAAACGCAGGGGGAATAAGGAAGCATACAAAATATTCTACCTTGACTAAATTAGTGCTACATTATGACGTCATAGTAGGCAAGATGACGTCAATTCTAGAACACAAGTTTTCGTAATATTGGTATTTAGAGATGTAATTTAACTCAAGAAAACAAATGGAAACGTGTAAATATTAACAACAATGAAATGTTCCTACGTAGTTATGCTGTATTTTGGCATTTTGATTAAAATCTACCACCGATGACGTCATATGTGTACATCAAGTAACTTTGGAATTGATTATGTCATAGAAAGAGAATTTGGCAAAGACAGCATGTACAAAGATACGTAAAATGGAGTTTAAGAAGCAAATATCGTGAATATCTTGTAAAATTCAGATGGAGTTCAGTTAATAAATCAGGTATGCTTATTTATTTTCATTGATTATAGTCTCTTTCGAAGACAGTCAGCTATATACGTATCCCATTCGGCCTTTCCTCTGTCATTTGTGACAAAATAATGCACCAGAACAACAATAAGCTGTATATTTCAAAACATAAGATTTGTACACATGGAAAGTTTGCCTCCTAAAATACTTGGGAAGTGCTGCTAGAATCCCGAGTTAAACATGGTTTTACGAAAAATCTAGGTTCATATGTAAAAAAATCAAAACATCGGGTAAGGTTTTTGGCAATGTGTGGAATATTTATTTTACTGACTGGACAGTGGGATTCTAGCAGCACTTTTTAGGCAAAATATATGTTTTTGAACTACATCATTTACTCAAAGAAGTTATTAAACTCCGGGGTATTGTTGTTCTGTTAGCTTTTTTATGAAGGAAAAATTCGCTATTAATAGAAGTCACGTGATGCCGTGGTGTTGGTGCACGTGGTAGCGTTAGACACTCTTTTTATCTTTATGCAATAGATAATAATAGTTTACGTTTATCAGCGGTTTTGGTAAATTATCAAACTTAATTTTCTTTAAAAAGTCTGAATTTCCCGGAAAAAGACTTGTATGCTTCCTTAACATACCCGCGAAGTTAATGCCGATTTCTAGTGGTGTCCAAAGTGTGTCATGTAGAAAAGTTATGTTGATCATATATGATTGACGTGGAACGCCGACAATCAAATATGCTGTTTTAATTAAGTTAGAACCTTTCACGATGTATAAATCTATTTGAAATAACATTCATTTAAATCAGGTATTCATGACATCTTTAAATTTATATAAACAAGACGAGGTTAAATCTTTCCTTGCCTCCAAGGAATCTCATAAAGATAAGTGTATTAGGTAGAGAATGAGAAAATTGAGAAACAATAACGTCATGCAACAAAATGCTGACTGCGCCGGGTAAAAAAAAATGTCTTTTTAATTTATGATAATTCGCCGGGTGAAAAAAAAAATTCTTAATTTATGATAATTTTCGGGGAAAAAATGAAGGTATCAAGCTAAATTTTCAACATTTTTCTAACTTTTGTTGTTTTATGTTCCTTAAAAATATTTTAAGTATAAACTAACTTCATAGTATTAATGTTATCGCATCTGCCTTTAAATTTTTTGAACAACTTTTGCATAAGTGTATGATTGAATGACTGATTGTATATTATTTAATTTTTATTTATTTACGATAAATGACGTTGTCAGCATATCAATAAGTCAAATGCTGACTGACAGTTTTTGTACCAATTTAAAACTATTATTTACAAACTGTATTGTCGATAGAATTTTGGATTTTCTCGTTATAGTCCGATTATGACATCAAGTGTGAGCGTTCGGCAGAGGGTGCTCACTCCTATATGTTCCAACGTCTAAGATTTTAGAGGTCTGTGTTTGCTTTGCTCCAAAATTTGTAATTTTATGTGGTCTTTTACGAATTTTTGTATTGTTTGTTATCTCAATATTTTTCATCCAACTAGAAACACCTTTTGATTTTAAGATGGTTTTAAGCTGGAAAGATGCAATAATTAAACGAACCTCATTTTTAAAATCGGCTGATATCGATACCACGCCTGCTAAAACATGCTGCACCAGTCATACACAAATCTATCTCTTATTTTATCAATGTCAACATTTCTACAGGAATATTTCCAAATCAATTAAACATTTTTAAAGGTAACGCCTAAATACAGAAAAGGAGAAAAACTTGATCCTGGTAATTCTAGGACAATATCTTTCTTCCCGTATTTGTCGAAACTAATTGAAAAACATGTTGGTAATCACATCCCTAAATTCTTATGAGACTTTTATTTACTTTGGAAATCACAATCAGG